GATAGAGACAACCAGAGCACTTGTTGGAGCAAGTGCCTGCTTTTGTGTGAAGATTTGTCTCCATGAAGTACAAAGAAATACTGAAAATTTAATAGCTAAATAACTTAGTAGGACTATTCTTTCTTCAACGCCCTTTTTTTCAAAACATCATTATGCCTTGCTTAACCTTTGCTAAAACAGTATTATTACTACTTTTTATACCAGCCAGACAAATATTTTAATAATTGGTTATAAATTTACGTTTTGAATGCCTTACTATGGCTGATCGATATTGTAGAGGCCTGATTCTTGCAATACCAAACGTATTGCTGATCACCTTCAGGGGGTACATGCTACATGTACTAATGCCATCCAGTTTCTAGCGAAAAGCATTTTAGGAGTGCACATTAATTTCTGATAGTAAAAGTAGACTAAATTTCTGGTGACTGGAGCATTGTATAGTAAAATTTGTTTGTTTGACTGCTTTAGACCTTTAAGTTAATGGCTTGAAGTCCTTGTATGTTGGATATAATGAATATATCAGCAATGGTCTGTGAAACTTTTGGGTCATACCAATGAATGATTTTTTTTTTTTTTAATTTAAACCAAGTACCTGGAAAGCTGTATTTCCTATCATGGCTGTGGATGGGCCCCTGAACCTGTACAAGACACTGTCATCATCTATTCTAGGCAGCAGCAGTCTACTACATCCAATACCTTAATTGCTAGCCCAGATGAAGAAAGTTTGTGATTTGAGCTTCTGCTAAACTGTTCAGCTGAACAGGCAGCTGAGTCCTCAGTGTGACCAATTTAGCATGAGCTAAAAAAAGTGTCCCTTTTCCAGACCTGTATTTATAAGGTGGAGGAGAGTAAACTGAGTACACCATGGTTGTACTACTTGCCTTTCAATCCTAAGCTAGGCAGTGCCCCCTTCCATCCCACTCTGGTGCTAAAGCCTTGAAGTAGGGGTGAAGATGGCAAGAGAAGGAGCAGCTGCCAAATGCAAACAAACTGTGGTTCATTTTAAACTATGGTGGTCTTGCTTCTCTGCATAGCCTGCCAGTAAGGGGGGCATTTGAGCTAACACCTTTAAGCTGAGTCTTCCTGCTGTAGGAACTGGACCAAGATCTCACAAATAGCTCTGAAGTGATAATGAATGGGGGCACTGCTGACCTGAACTAGATATGAACCTCCAGCCTGGCAGGGAAAGGTGCACTAGTTCATTGCTAATCCTGGTTTTGGAGATGCTGAGCATTTCACCCCCTCCTACAGCAATTCCTGAACTGCTCTGCACATGTAGCACTTCTCATCAAATGAACTTGAAAGAGCTTCATGGGTATTGGAGCTCTTGGGGAGAGAATGCCCCATTTTATTGGTAGCCTCCAAATGACAGGACTTGGTCTTTAAGACCAGCAGAGGGGATGGTCTTTAGTTGGGGTTGTTCACATGAAATGCTTCAGCTCCAAGTCTGTGCAGACCCAGAGGCTGGGGGACAAAGCTGGGTTTCACTGGGTTTTCTGTTTCTGGGTCAGATGGGGCAGTCATGCAAAAGATTTGTGAATTGTCTTAATGTATCTTGCTTCTGAGAATGTCTTGTCCCTGGTGGTGGAAGGGCTGAAGAGTGAATCATAGAATCACAGAAAATTAAGGTTGGAAGGAACCTCAGGAGGTCATCTAGTCCAACCCCGTGGTCAAAGCAAGACTGTCCCCAACTAGATGATTCTAGCCAGGGATCTGTCAAGCTGGGCCTTAAAAACCTCCAAGGATGGAGATTTCCCCCACCTCTCTAGGTAACCCATTCCAGTGCTTCACCACTCTCCAAGTATCCTAATATCCAACCTAAACTTCCCTTGCTGCAACTTGAGACCATTGCTCCTTGTTCTGTCATCTGCCACCACTGAGAACAGTCTAGCTCCATCCTCTTTGTAAATACTCTTCAGGGAGTTGAAGGCTGCTATGTAATCTCCTCTTAGTCTTCTCTTCTGCAGACTAAATGAGCCCAGTTCCCACATCCTCTTCTCTGAAGTCATGTGCCTCAGCCCCCTAACCATTTTGTTGCTCTCCACTGGACTCTCTCTCCAATTTGTCCACATCCTTTCTGTGGTGGGGGGCCCAAAACTGGACACAGTGCTGCAGGTATGGCCTCACCAGTGCAGAATAGAGCAGAAGAATCTCTTCCATCAATCTGTGGCAACGTTTCTACTAATGCAGCCCAGTACACTGTTAACCTTCTTTGCAACAAAGGCACACTGTCGGCTCTTATTCAGCTTCTTGTCCGCTGTAACTCCCAGGTCCTTTTCTACAGAGGTGATGCTTAGCCAGTCAGCCCAATGCCTGTAGGTGGTGTATGGGATTCTTCTGTCTGAAGTGCAGGACTTTGCATTTGTCCTTATTAAATCTCATGATATTTTATTTTATTTTATTTTTGGGCCCAATCCTCCAATTTG